GCACAGTGACTCCTGTTGTTGACTTTACCAATTGACACTCCTGTTTATGGCATCAGTAATCTCCCTATGCACCAGTCATGAGTTTCCAAGGCTATGGAAGCCCCTTGATTTCTCTGACTCTTATCTTGTTTAGACATGGTCATAGTCAAAGTGGAGGTTCTCTCCTCCCTTCAGAGAAAGGCACCTCCCTCTTTGAAGACCTGTTCTTTCCACTGGGATCTCACTCACAGAGATCTTTTTGCCAGAGTGTCTTGGCTTTCCATGCCTGAAATACTCTCATGGGCTTTTCAGCCAGATCCGAGTGCCTTTAGGGCTGATTCTGAGGCCAGAGTGCTATTTAGGACATCCGCCATTCTATGAGTCTGCTGAGTATCTCACTTCCCATGTTGGATCACTCTCCCCTTTATTTATTCTATTGGTTAGTGTTAGCAGATACTAGACTTGTTTATGTGCTCCCTTTGACTCTTAGTCCTTTCATTATGATCAATTGTGAACTGAAATTGATCACTTGGAATAGTGAGATGGCATTGGCACATGCCACCTTGATGGGATTGAATTGGAATCCCCTAGTATGTTTCCAACTCTACCAATTGGGGCAAGTCAGCCCGAGCATGCCCCAAATTATACATCTCTTCCCTCTCTTATTCCCACTTTTATGTTTAACAGGGATCACATTTCAGTTAATTTTCAACACTTAAGAATAACTGTGTGATAATTACAGAATTAAACCAGTCATATTAAGTAGAACAGACAAAAAAAAAATACTATGAGGGATAATGTATTAAGTTGTCCATTAGCAGTCAGGGCTATGCTGATCAAGTCACCATTTCTCATAGTGTCCATTTCACTTCAGGAGGTTTCCTTTTTGGTGTTCAGTCAGTTGTCACCGATCAGGGAGAACATATGGTATTTGTCCCTTTGGGACTGGCTTACTTCACTCAGCATGATGTGTTCCAGATTCCTCCATTTTGTTGCAAATGACTGGATTTCGTTGTTTCTTACTGCGGTATAGTATTCTAAAGAATACATATCCCATAATTTCTTTATCCAGTCTACCATTGATGGGCATTTAGGTTGGTTCCAGGTCTTGGCTATTGTGAATTGTCCTGAGCTCAACTCTTGATCAATGTATTCAGCCCATCTTTCTCAGCCCTGGGGTGGGACATCTCTGAAGTTTGTGCTGTACCTTTTCCCAGATGTCATTGCAGGATTGAGCCTCAGTTGCCCACGGCACTAATTTGCTCACTATTTCTCACATTACCAGTTCCCTTCACCCATCTCTGAACAGTGTTTCCCACGATCGCCAAATCAATGTGCAGCTTGCTCGCAAATCTTTGTCTCATCTCTGCCTGTGGGGTACCAAGGTAAGACATCATCTCTGAATTGTCTGTTTTGGGACATCTTTTGAATAAATGAAAATAAGCCTATAATTAAACCATTGTTATTTGTGTGTTCTGTTATATTCTGTTAAATCTCATTGTTCTCAGAAAACAAACAAACAAAAAACCCTGGTAAATGAGAGCTGGCTGCTAAAGGCAGGAGGGGCCATGAGTCATAAAAAAGGAAGTGGATAAATCCAGGATTATGTAGAATGTAGTACATTAGCGGGACAGGAATGAAAGCATGGCCTTGGGTGGCCACAACTCAGTGGACCCCCCCCCCATGCCACAAGATTAGTGAATAAATGTTTTATAAGAAAAATTGTGGCTCAAAGTTAAATGAAATGCACCTGGACTTTCTCAAAACAAACACCTGCTGTGGCATGGTGTATTCAACCACAGCTTCTGATGCCCACATCCCATATCAGAGAGCCAGTTTCAGTCGAGGCTACGCTACACTTCCAGTCCAGTTTCCTGCTAATGTGCCTTGGGTGCCATTGGACATAGGACCATCGGACGTTGGACCAAACACTCCTAGCTCAGCCTGGCCCAACCTCAGCTGTTGCATGCAATTGAAGGAGTGAATTAGTGATCAGAAGATCTCTCTGTCTCTCCCTGTCTCTGTCTCTGACTCTCTCTCTGTCACTCTGCTGTATAAATAAATATACAAAACTTAGAAAGAGAAATAGTTAATATTTCGGTCATCGGATAAGGGACCCTGCAGGGGTCAGATAAGAGCAGCTGGTTATCTTAATGATTTTCTTTACCCCATAAAGTTGGGGATGGTTGACAGGGTCCCCTAAGGGGCATGATTCTGATTATGATCAAGTCGATCATTGGCCTGTCAAGCTGGACCCAAACAGTCATCCTATCTAATCCGACAGCAATATGATTCTTTCTTAAGCTTACCCACATTACAATTACTAAATTTTTTTTTGACAGGCAGAGTGGACAGTGAGAGAGAGAGACAGAGAGAAAGGTCTTCCTTTGCCGTTGGTTCACCCTCCAATGGCCGCTGCGGCCAGCGCGCTGTGGCCGGCGCACCACACTGATCCGATGGCAGGAGCCAGGTACTTATCCTGGTCTCCCTTGGGGTGCTGGGCCCAAGCACTTGGGCCATCCTCCACTGCACTCCCTGGCCACAGCAGAGAGCTGGCCTGGAAGAGAGGCAACCGGGACAGAATCCGGCGCCCCGACCGGGACTAGAACCTGGTGTGCTGGAGCTGCAAGGCAGAGAATTAGCCTAGTGAGCCGCGGCGCCGGCCACAATTACTAAATATTTTTCCAATAAAGGAGTATTGATAAAAGTCAAAAGGCAGAAGAATAAGTTAAGTCTTTTGGTTGAATAAAGTCTGATGACTACTAGGAAGCAAAATGAAAACTATAATCCAAATACTTACCTTTGTCAGAGTAGTTTTAATAAACAAATCAATGCCCACTTTTATACTAAGACTAAGGTAAATTAATTCCTAAGGTAAATCTCAGTTCTCACTTGACACATCCACAGCATTTGATATGGTCCATCACTCCTTCCTTCATTAAGGATGTTTCTTGGGGTGGGTGTTTGGCATGGTGACTAAGACTCAGTTTGGGATGCTTGCATTTCATATCACAGTGCCTGAGCTTGGGTCTTATTTCTGTTTCCAACCCAGCTTCCTGCTAACGCTGATCCTGGGAGGCAGCAGATGATGGCTCAAGTCTCTGCCGCCCACAGGGAAGACATGGATGGAGTTTTCAGGTCCTGGCATTGGCCTAGCCTGCCCCTGGCTATTGTGGGCATTTGGGGGGAATGAACAGCCTATGGAAGATTCTCTCTCTCTCTCTGTCTGTCTCTCTGTCTCTCTCTCTCCATCTGTTTGTCTCTCAGCCTTTCAAATAAAATGAAAATAAGTATATTTTTACAATGCCTTTTTGGCCTTTGGGCAATCATTCTCTTTTGTTTCTTCCTCTACCTCACTGGCAGCTTCTTCCCAGGTGCCTTTGTTGACTCCTATTCTTCTCCAGTTGTGTCTTCTTGACCTGCTTCTCCTCTGAATCTACACTTTTTCTATGATCTCATCCAGTTCCATAACTTTAATAACATTCCTGTGCTGATGGCTCTTAAATTTATATCTTCAGTCTCTACCCACTTGAAGCTGAGACTCATAAGTAATTACTTATAAATCTTCTTGGGTTGACTAACTCCAGGACAACTCAGATTTGACATGGCCAAAGCCAGCTAAAACTACTGCTTTTCCAGTCCTCATTTCAGTAAGTGGAAACCCCTTCTTAATAGTTGCCCAGGCCACACGTACATGGAATTCTCCTTAATTGCTCATTTCTCTGTCAACACTCGCCTCCGCTCTGAACCCTCTCAGCTCTGCCTGTAAGTTCCCTGAGAGTGAGATCCCCTTTAGGACTTGGGTATAAACTACCATAATTCTTGCTTGAACAGCTTCAGTTGCTTCCTATTAGGTTTCTCTAAGTCTACGTTTGCTGTATACTTCCTATTCCCCAAACAATAATCAGCATGCCCTTTCTAAATTATGTTGAATTACCTCAATACCCTGTTCAAATTTCCCAATGTGATTCCATTTAACTCGAGGTCCCCACTGGCAAACCTGGAATAACTGACTCCCAGGTGTTCCTTTGACTTGGTCATCTGCCACTCCACTCATCATCCAACACTGCTGCCATCACACTAAACCCCATGTTGGTCTATGGATGCCCCAAGAATGCAAGCCCTCAGGCCTCTTATTCGTATCCCATTGATATGGAACATCTTTTTCCAGAACCCTACCCTTCTCTCCCTCCTTTCCTGAAAATCACCACTCAAAAGTCACCTCAACAATGGCCTTGCCTAACCAGCTTTTCTACGATGGCACACCACATCCTTCTTTGACTTTTACACTTCATCCCCTTTATTCTCTTTAATTTTTCTTCCAAACAATTCCCTTTAGCTGACTTGTTTTATATATATATTCTAATTGCCTGCCTCCACTGGAAGGAAGGCATTGAACAGCAAGGCCTTTGTTTATTTTATTCGCTGCCTATCTCTAGCACCTAGATAACTGCCTAGAACACAGTAGACACACTACAAATATTTTACCAGACAAATGCATGATTGAATTATAAACACCCTTTCATTGAAGGATTATTTTTGGTCATCCAGTCAAATGTCTGATTGAGTGTGGTAAGTTTGAATATTCCAAGAAACAAGAATAGAATTTTTTAAATATTTGATAGTTTTTTTCATTAATCAAAGGACTACCATATTTCATAAAAAGGCACAGCAGGAGTTGAGCTATCGTTACAGAATTTTCCATGACTTGCCTGGTAGACAAAGAAAGAGTAAACACGAGATACATCCACACTTTGTTATAACTGCCTTTTCTGTTTTATTAAATTTGTTAACTCAAAGACAGTTTCTCACCTACTTCCTCAATCTTAAGCTAAAATGTCAATCAAGTACAGTTCACTTTTAAAATGGATTGGCACAATCCAGTAAAGAGGAGATGACAGAAAAAGCCAACAACACTAAGTGTATTCATGTTGCTTTTTATTTCATGAAACCAAATTTTGCAAACATCAATTTTAGAACCATTTTATGCAGACATTAAAATGAAAAGGCAACAAAATATGCAAAATACTCACACTCCTCCCTCCCCCATACACATACACACGTAAATATCTATCACCAGAGAACTTGAACTAATTCAGAAAAAGATTAAAATATTTTTACCAATAGAGATATTGAACAACCATGCACAGCAAAATGAAAGTATGCAATAAAAGCAAACATGATATGTCTGCTTTTTTCTGTCTGAAATTTAAATGACATGAGCTGAAGATGGAGTATGAAAAGGTTATTGAATATGCTACGTGTAATACCTGAACACTCTTCAATCATTCACCTTTCAATACAGAGCTTTAATTATCTTCATAACCCAGCTTTTTGAACTCTGTACCCAAAACTGAATTCTATCCATTTCTTAGTCAAAGAAAACATTCCAAGAAATCTAAGACAAGGATCAGAGAGAGAATTTCAATCATCCACTCCAGGAGACATGGAGGAGGTACTTCTACTGAAAGGCCTCTGATCTGGAGATTCTCTGCCTAATAGAAACCATTTAATTGTCTACACTGACATTGCAAACTTGAGAAAGGGAATGTTGTATAGCCCTGGACTTTGTTCTAGTTATTCCCTACAAGGCAGAGAGCAAGATAAGAAATGGGCCCCTTGAGTTCAAAGACACACACACACACACACACACACACACACAAAGTGTAAAGTCTGCTCCCAGCTAATGATGCAATGGTTTTGGAAGGGAGTTAGAACTATTGCTTACTGATGGAAAGAGTCACATTACAAAGTGCTTGTCTTTTATCCTAATCTCTAATTTAGATAAATTAGAACAGATAACTGTTCATTTTAACCATTGAGAAAACACATTTAGCCAGCAGAAAACATACATCTTCATAAAGTAAACATTTTATATATTCTGCCTCTTATAAATTAGCATTGACATGCTGCTGATGCCTTTCAATATTTCTGCTGTAAATGCTACAGATATCATTTCCAAAGACTGGCTCAGGGACTACTGAAATATTCCACATCCATTTGCTGGCAAAACTTCAGACTGATTATTCAATCATTATGCGATTTTCCTTAAACCAGTACTTCCCAATGACACAGCCTCCTGGGGTCCACCTGCAGAGCTGCTCATTCATTGGGTCTGGAGCATAGGTCTTGAGAAGCTGCCCTTTGAACAAGTTTCCAGGTGATGTCAAGGCTGCTAGCAGGGAGCCCACTTTGAGAACCACTTCAAACTACCAAGTGACATGTTCCTTGAAGAGCAGTGTAAGCTTAGAGAACCCAAAACCCACATGAGGCTTACAAAGCTCTCTTCAAGGCCATGTCTCAGAGACGGTCCTTGAGAAAATCTTTTTATTGTTCGTTTACTACTTGTTCTGATAGAGCAAATGTAGTGACTCAGCAGATAAAGAATCTTTATCACTAGTTGCATAGAATTTTGATTTTTGCTGAGTTTGGGCTGGGAATATTTCCTATTTTGCATCAGGAAAGCTGCAATCTACAATGTGTCTCCAAGACACCCTCCCCAGGGCAGGATCATTGCCTCTGGGGGACAAAAAGCCACAGCTACATGTCTCTACCCAGCAGGTCTATCTCATCCAGGAGGAAGTCCATGTCCTCCCGTCTCACTTGAGGGCTGATCACCACCTGGCGGAAGAAGTTGACCTTCCCGCGGTGGGGCTGGTAGCCCAACATCAGACTTCCCTTCTTCATCATCCTCTCCTTAATGGCTGGTGCCACCTGCATGGAGACAAGAAGGGAGGAGGTGAAAGACCGGATCACCAAGGTATTACAGCTGCCATCTACCTGTGTGAACCTCATTCTCTAATATTATTAGTTGACACTAATAATAAAAATATTTGAGAACTGTGGTGTATGAGTACAGTTTTAGAAAGAGTAATTCACTTAATCTTCACTACTAACACAACTAATATGTCCATTTATAGAGGAGGAAATTTAGGCACATGGAGATTAAAAAAATATCCCAAAGCCCCAGGCAGTCTTGCTCCAAACCCAGACTCTGAAATCTAAATCAGTATGCAATGTTGCTTCTTTAAAAACAAACTGGGGGATTCCAAGGTGGCAGAATAGGGAGGGCGCTTACTACTCTAGTCTAGGGGAAGATAGTTAAAAAAAAGTGGAGAGAGTGCAATCTCAAGGGAGCGTTAGGGAAAAAACAGTAGAGGAAACTCCATGCAAATTAGAGGTAAACTATGGACCTATGTGAAGGGTATGGACACACACAACTCAGGATCCCAGCAGCTGAGAGCCTCAACACCATCTTTGTAGAGTGGGGTGAGATCAGACTGCAACAGCCCACACCACTAGTGATAAAGCTACAAAGAGAGCCTGGTGTGAATCCAGCTGGGAGCGCTGTGGGAACAGTGTACCTGCCAACCTAGAGGGGAAAAAATGGGTCATGTTTCTTTCTCCCTGAATGGCATCCTGTAAGTAGCTGAGAGAAGGAGGGCGCCGTTTTTGACATAGATAACAGCTGATCCAGCCTGTGTTCATGCACCCAGCAACCAGCTGAGAGGAGATGCCTGAGTTTAGCTGAGAAGATTGATGGGGGGCTGGGTATGCTGGGACTGTGAAAACACTCTGGCTGCATAGGAGGGTGCAGGGTGTGGCAGGTTCTTTGGGCAGTCATTGTGGGCAGTTTCACATGTTTAGGGCTCCCTGATTCCCTGGTGAGGGTCATTGCTGCAGGATCCATGCTCACACTGAGGACCGCATGGATCCTTTGTGCAGTTCTTGTGGCAGTGTGGATGAATATTGCAACCACTGGGGCTCCTGCCCAGGCATTGGTCTTCTTGGAGGAGAAGAGGTGAGCCTCAGACTATGCCAACAGACATGATCAAACCTCTACTCTGATAACAAAAAAGAGAGAGAGAGAGATTTAAGTCACCCAACTTGGGTATCACCTTGGATACTCCACTCACCCTGAAACACTGACCAGAGTTCCCTGACTACACTCAGAACATGCCTCTGGGTATCCACTAGAAGAGCAGACACTCCACTAAGCCACAGAGACATAGTCCAAAGATAAAAGCCATCATAGGGGAAAAACAAAACCAACAAATATCTCCACAAATGCATAAAAATAAATGCAGTAATTCATGAAACAAGAGTAAGGAACACAACATGACACCTCCAAATAGAATACAACATATCAGTGTTAGAATGTGAAGGTGAAGAGATTGAAGAAATGCCAGAAACAGAATTCAAAAAATTGATTGTAGAATTACTTACTAATCAGTAGCAAACCCATGGCTTAAAGAAATTCATACATGGAATGAATGAAAACTTTTCCCATGAAATTGAGATTTTAAAGAGAAATCAAAATGAAATATTGGAAATGAAGAATTCAATAGGTGAAATAAAAATACAGTAGAAAGCCTCAACATACTCAGTGAGGCAGAAAAAAAAGAATATCTGAATTAAAAGACAAATCTCTGGAAATTTTACAAACTTGAGAAACAAAACCATATTCTTATCACTAATGGATGCAGAGAAAGTATTTGATAAAATACAACATCCTTTCATTATGAAACTCTTAAGCAAACTGGGTATAGAAGGAACATTCCTCAACACAATCAAGGCTATTTCTGACAAACCCACTGCCAGCATCCTACTGAATGGGAAAAACTGGAAGCATACCAATTAAGATCCAGAACCAGACAAAAATGCCCACTCTCACCATTGGTATTCAATATAGTCATGGATGATATAGCCAGAGCCATTAGGCAAGAAAAATAAATCAAAGGGATACAAATTGGAAATGAGGAAGTCAAAATATCCCAATTTGCAGATGGCATGATTCTATAAATAAGGGATCCAAAGACTCCTCTAAGAGACTATTGGAATTCATAAAAGAGTTTGGTAAAGTGGCAGGATATAAAATCAACACACAAAAATCAGTAGCCTTTGTATACACAGACAATGCCAAGGCTGAGAAACGCACTTCTAAGATCACAATAGCCCCCTCTCCCCAGATACCTTGGAATAAATTTAACCAAGTACATAAAAGATCTCTACAATGGGCCGGCACCGCGGCTCACTAGGCTAATCCTCCGCCTAGCGGCGCCGGCATACCGGGTTCTAGTCCCGATCGGGGCGCCAGATTCTGTCCCGGTTGCCCCTCTTCCAGGCCAGCCCTCTGCTGTGGCCAGGGAGTGCAGTGGAGGATGGCCCAGGTGCTTGGGCCCTGCACCCCATGGGAGACCAGGAAAAGCACCTGGCTCCTGGCTCCTGCCATCGGATCAGTGTGGTGTGGAAATACAAGCAAAGCTCTTCCATTTGAATTTTATGGTAGCTCACTGAAAAAATTTTGAGTGTGTCCTACATGAATATGTGGAAAGGGAACATCATGATTTTCTGTTGTTGTATTTTCAGAAAGTAGAGACGTAGCTCATCCAGAAAACACTCCTAAACACTCCTAAATAACTCCAGGAAGAATGTGCTTTTAAACTCCTTAGGAGACAGGTACAAATCTCAGTTCCCACAAACCTCTCTGTCATAGAGGAGCCACCCTACTCTTCTGGTTCTGAAACATACCTGTGTCTTGCCAGTTACTCCCTCTGCAGCCAAAATTAACTCTGACAACATAATTCTGAGCTGCTCCAAAGACAATGGAAAAAGTGAGTATTTTAGATCCCTGGAGATACTGTGTTAGAGTTAACCAGACGGCCTTCTTAAGGGAAGTTCAAGGATAATGTTAATGGAACACTTCTTTTCCATATGTGCTAATTCTAGAATCAAAGTCTAGGAAAACACGGCTTACCGCTTGCCCATAACATCACCACATACCTATTCAGCAAACCTCTTGACTAATCTAGTCGGAGGTGAGAGGGTTCTTACAGTATAATGAGACAAGGCAATAAAGTATATGCGACTAAAAGAAAAAAAAATGTAGACAAAGGTGAGGTCAGAGGTAAACTTAGGGAAAAGTATGGACCATTAGGTTCTATAAATTTCCAGAAATGTGTCACAGGTTTTATTCCGAGCTTCAGAGAGATTATGGAAATAGTGTTAATGAAACAAAACCCGGGGCCTGTGCTGTGGTGCAGTGGGTTAAAACCCCAGCCTGAAGCACCAGCATCCCATATGGATGCTGGTTCACATCCTGGCTTTTCCTCTTCCAATCCAGCTCTCTGTCTTGGCCTGGGAAGGCAGTAGAGGATGGCCCAAGTCCTTCGGCCGCTGCATCCGCGTGGGAGACTCAGAGGAAGTTCCTGGCTCCTGGCTTCGGATCAGCTCAGCTCCAGTCGTTGCGGTCATTTGGGGAGTGATCCAGGGGAGTTGAAGACCTCTCTCTCTCTCTGGCTCTACCTCTCCCTCTGTATAACTCTGTCTTTCAAATAAATAAAATAAATCTTAAAAACAAAAAAAGAGAAAGAACACCTTCCATTCTCTTTGCAAAACTTAGCGACAAATGTTTGGTGGATGTTGACAGCTGGAAACTAGCAGGTGACTCCCCACTCAGCTTACACCTATCTGCTTGAAGCCACGAGTTTATGTGTGTCATTTGAGTTGTCTTCCAAAGTGTCTCTATACAAGCAGCATTGGCTTTTAGAAGTACAAAATCTAGTGAAATAATATGTAAGCCATCCAGTGGTGAGTACCTAGAGAGTGATTTCCACAAAAACAAACCAGAATGCTTTGGAAACACTAAAGTGGAATGAGTACACACTGCTATTGCCAAATTAGGTGTAGTGAGATAACTGTGCTTTTCAAATAAAGTCTTATGAGTCTAGGTGGGCTGGCATTGGATCTCACTGCCTTTGAGGCATCCCAAATGAGCACTAGGTAGAGTCCCAGTTGCTCCACTTCTCATCCAGCTCCCTAGCTTATGTGCCTGGGAAAGCAGTAGAAGACGATCCAAGCACTTGCCTCTCTGCCACCCATGTGGGAATCTGGATGGAGTTCCTGGCTCCTGGCTCTTGGCTTCAGTCTGACACAGTCCTAGCCTTTGTAGCCATCTGGGGAGCAAACCATCAGATGGCAACTGTAACTCTACCTTGCAAATAAACAAACCCAGTCCAGACTAATTCTGCAATGCAGAGGGCTAGGCCACTACCTGTGATGCCAGCATCCTCTATGGGTGCTCCTGGCTTCTGCCCGGCACAGCCTTGGCCATTGGGAGCATTTGGGGAATGAAACTGTGGATGGAAGATCTCTCTCTGTCTCTCCTTCTCTCTCTGTAACTTTGCCTTTCAAATCAGTGAATAAATCTTAAATAACAAAAACCTCACTTGCTTTCGGAAAGCGTTTGGACAGGCTCACTTGATGGAAAAAATCTTCATCCTCAAAAGATGAGGACATAAGTACACATAGACACATAAAGGAGAAGTAAAAACATTTCTATGTGAAATACAAATGTAAAATGTCCAAGTTGCTGAGTTACGTTTGCGTCATTTTTTAGAATTACTTGCTTGAGCCGACTAAGCCTCATTACAGTACGTGTACATGTGCATAATTGTGGTGCACATGTGGATGCAAATGAGTTCATGTATGTGTGTGTATGTATGCACACTGAGTGTGCTCATCTGCAGTTCATTTATACTTATATCAAATGCCATCACTGCTCCCAAAATCTCCCTATTTGCTCACTAGATAATGCAGAACTATAGTCTGAGAGGACATTTATTTTGAATTTAAAGAACAGGTGACCTCTTCATTATAAACTGAAGCAATGAGAAAAAAAACACAATAGCATAAGTACTTGGGCCCCTGCCACC